CCCTCCCCCAGTTTATCATTACAAATCACCACCTCCTCCTCCACCCACCTATGAATACAAGTCTCCACCACCACCACCTCCTACCTACCATTATAAGTCACCACCTCCACCCCCACCAACTTACCACTATAGTTCTCCTCCACCTCCAGTTTATGAGTACAAGTCACCACCTCCTCCGCCACCAGTTTACAAATACAAGTCACCACCACCACCACCACCAACCTACCAYTACAAATCTCCTCCTCCACCACCACCACCTACCTACCACTACAAGTCCCCTCCACCACCACCACCAACTTACCACTACAGTTTACCCCCTCCTCCAGTTTACCAATACAAGTCACCACCTCCTCCTCCACCCGTCTACAAATACAAGTCTCCACCACCACCTCCACCAACCTACCACTACAGTTCTCCCCCTCCACCAGTTTATGAATACAAGTCACCTCCTCCTCCCCCACCCACTTATGAGTACAAGTCTCCTCCACCACCACCACCTACCTACCTCTACAAGTCACCACCTCCACCTCMTCCAACGTACCACTACAGTTCTCCCCCTCCTCCAGTTTACCAATACAAGTCACCTCCTCCTCCCCCACCCACTTATGAGTACAAATCCCCACCACCACCACCACCACCTGTATACACATATTCATCSCCACCTCCTCCAGTTCACTATTAAGTCTAAAAGGTTTTCTTCTCCAATCATGTAAGTATGAATACGACCTAATATTATTATTAATACTAATAGTTGATATTTAAATTGTTATTTATATCAATAACACCATCATGCAACTTTGTTAATTATTTGCAGGTTTTAGTTTGAAAATTGGAATAAAGAAAGAGCTCGTAAACGAGAGATTCATGAGAATTGCAAACCTCTCTATTTCCGGCTATTTTGCTTCTTCCACTTCTTTGGGAGCCATTTTACATGTTTTGTTGTTAGCATATTCTAGTAGAAGTGGCTTTAAAAATGGAAATGGGTTAAGTGGATGTAGGAGCAAATAGGAAGAGATAAGATTTGGATGTGGTTTCTAGGGCTACCTGGTTTTGTTTCTTCAAGTTTAGTGCATTTTTTTCTATTGTTCTATGTATTCATTATGGGGAATAAGCTCTTAAATATAGGGCATTTGTCTCTCACAAGCTATTATTCATTTTGCATGTAAAATGTTTCTAATAAAAGAAAACAGTTTACGTCTCTCTCTCTCTATGGTGTGTGTTGTGTGTGTGTGGACCTGTGTGGACATCATTATCTTATATAATTACCTGAAAGTCGAAAGAATATTATTCAAGGAACAAATCAAGATACTAATTTGCAATCTCTCTGCGTAGGCAGCTGACAATATATCCTTTCCATGTGTTTCGTGCTTGTGACAATAAGAGTAAAGGTATCTTGCACCTTGTCAGCAAAAACAAGGTGGAGACTGAAGAGATATTAAATATGGATGAAGGAATGATGACTCCTGGATTTCCAGACTAATTGATTGTACTGTTAGATTGGCATTTAGGAAAGAAAATGAAAAGATGTTCACAGTTCAGCTATACTGTTATGGATACACCGCCCAGTTTCCACAATAGGGTCTGCTTGCAAGGGAAAACAGGGTTTTCTCCCTGTGGACCGACCCGTGACGAGATCCTACGTGCGGGCCCATAATATATACATTTATCAAATGAAAATTCTATCTCAAAGTTTTTAGGACAACTATATATATATATATATATATATATATATATATATATATATATATAACACCAATCTTAATAAACAAAGTAAAGTAAGATCAAAGAATTAGCACAACTGAATATATATCTATATATATATATATAGGCCTACTCTCATACAAATTAGTGGTATGAGCAACGTTTGGGAGTACTTACTAAGTGGTGGACCAAAGCGGGTCAGAAACACAATCAGCGCTTTTTCAAAACGTGCTTATTAAAAGGCCCAAAATTTGGACTTCCTCAAACAGGCTTAATTCTGTTGAAAAAGCATATTGGGGCCTTTCTACCAAACGCCCGTAAGTGATTTTTTGTTGCTTTTGAAATCTTTTAATCACTTTTCCCAAATTGGATGGATTTGGTCCAACCCAATCCAGTCTAATGTGAGTCCACTTTATAAATGGACTGAACCTAATCCAATACAAACCAAATCCAATCCAAATGAAATATAAACACTTTTCTAAAAGTATTTTGATATAAATATTTTTATAAAAGTGCTTTTACAAAAGCATTTTATTGAAAGTACTTTGGCAAAAAGTACTTCCATAGACTTATAAAAGTACTTTTGTAGAAGTGCTTTGTAAAAGTACTTTTACAAAAGTACTTTCATATAAGTGTTTTTATAAAAGTACTTCTATAAAAAATTTTTTTGTAAAACTACTTCGTAAAAGTTATTTTGTAAAAGTGATTTCATAAAAGTGCTTTTGTGTAAAAGTACTTTTGTAAAAATGCTTTTATTAAAGTGATTTTGTAAAACTGCTTTTATAAAACTACTTCTGTAAAAGTGCTTTCATAAAAGTAGTTTTGTAAAAATGCTTTCGTAAAAGTATTTTTATAAAAATATTTTCGTAAAAGTACTTTCATAAAAGTGATTGTATGCTGTTTTTAGTTTTGATTGATTTCAAATTGGACAAGGGTTTGGCCTCATGATCAGATTATTGGAAATTTGGTTTAGGTCTAATTCAAATCAATAAGTTCATGGACCAATTTATTTTGGATTGGTCTAATCCAATAATTATAATGGATCGTCCAAATTCGATTTGATAAGTTTTGGATAAGATTGAATCCAAACCAAAACTAGTCGATTGACACCCTAATTCTAGGGTAGAGGTGGCATCTTGTCCAATCACAAAGCTAGCTTCTAATTGGGTTTGGCTCGTTTGAGAAGTCAGAAACACTTTAGTTGGGCTTTTGTTCCAATGAGCTTTACTTATATAATATCCTTTTCTTGTAATTATTCATAAAATCTTGTTTGATGCATTTTGTTCCTTTTTAAATTTTATGACCATGGTACACTCTTGCAATGGTTACCACATCGATGTTTACAAATACATACAAGGTTTTGCACTCTATATATTTGTATTTGTACTCCTTCCAAACTAACCACATATTTGGCAAGTTGACTGTAATGTATTTTACCCATTATATGTGCATATATCATATATGTTTTTTAGATGTTGTTCATTGTGTCCATTTGAAAATATTTCTCGAGACACAGGCTCAATTTGGAAGAGGTACAAATACAAATATGTAGAGTACTAAACCTTGTATTTTGTATATTATTTTTTATTCATTTGCACTTACATATTTGTATTTATACTCCTTCCAAACTGAGCCATACATTTTAGCGTTTGCTCCTTAATAAAAGACAATTTTTATATCAATAAAAACAAAGTTTGTTAATGTATTAAAGTTTGTTAATGTATTATCAATGAGATAAGACAAATTAAAATGTATCATCATGTGAATAAAAAATTCAATATTGAATTAATCTACAATTGTCCCATCTTATATATATATATATATATATATATATATATATATATATTGTTTGGTTTATTGTTGACTTGGCCCTAGGTGCCACATGTCATTTCTAAGGCTGCCTTAGCATTTCGGCCACGTCGGCACCACATTATTGGATAAGCATGACTAAGATAGGAAAGCCTCATGCGGATAAGGAGGATAGCTCCACCGGGGATTAGGTCTTATCCCAAAGACCTTAGTAGACAACCTCATCCCGATAAACCGGAAGCCTCATTTGAACAGGACACGGATCTTCGGTTATAAGTAGGTAACCTCCACTCAAGGTAAGGGACTTTTGACTCTTTAACACCCACTGTTAATTTGTTCAGACCAACATTGCTCTCAACTGCTCGGCCTGACTACCCACTGTTCTCAACTAACTTGAGCGTTAGAGTACCTACCTAGGGAATCACCCCTCGGGCCTTTGATCTTTTTCTTGGTTTCAGATCTTGTTGTGCGGGTTTGTCCTTCCACCTCGGCCTCGTCTAGTTGGCAGGACAATTTGATTGCACCCTCGGTTTGGAACAGCTCGGATCAGACAACATCATATAGGGGTGTCAATCGACTAGTTTTGGTTTGGATCCAATATGATCCAAACCTTATCAAATCGAATTTGGACAGTCTATTATAATTATTGGATTGGGCCAATCCAAAATAAATTGGTCCATATTCTTATTGATTTGAGTTAGACCTAAACCAAATTTCCAATAATCCGATCATGAGGCCAAACCCTTGTCCAATTTGAAATCAATCAAAACTGAAAACAACATAAAATCACTTTTATGAAAGTACTTTTATGAAAGCACTTTTACGAAAACATTTTTATAAAAGCACTTTTATAAAAGTAATTTTATTAAAAGTATTTTTACGAAAGCACTTTTATAAAAATATTTTTATGAAAGCACTTTTACAGAAGTAGTTTTGTAAAAGCACTTTTTACAAAATCACTTTAATAAAAGCACTTTTACAAACAAAAGTGCTTTTACGAAAGCACTTTTACAAAAGCACTTCTATGAAATCACTTTTACAAAATAACTTTACGGAAGTACTTTTACGAAAAAATTTTATAGAAGTACTTTATAAAAGCACTTTTATGGAAGCACTTTTATGAAAGAACTTTTATGAAAGCACTTTTACAAAAGTACTTTTATAAAGACACATACAAAAATACTTTTAAGAAAGTACTTTTACAAAAGCACTTCTACAAAAGTACTTTTATAAAAGTCTATGAAAGTACTTTTATAAAAGTCTATGAAAGTACTTTTTATCGAAGTACTTTCAATAAAGTGCTTTTGTAAAAGCACTTTTATGAAAATATTTTTTATCAAAGTACTTATACAAGAGTGTTTTTCAATGCTAAATGTGTTTTTATATAATTTTTTATATTTCATTCGGTTTAGATTGGATCCAATCCAATCCATTTACATTTTAATGGATTGGATTGGGTCCAATCCGATCCGATCCAATGTAAGTGGACTCACATTGGATTAGATCGGGTTGGACCAAATAATATAATAATCTTCATATATTTGCATAAAATATCTGCAATTTTGTATAAAATAAATATTAAAAGCTAAACAAAAAGTGTTCAGGTAGTGCCCTAATTGGTCGAAGTTTCCACATGGGCACCTCCGTGACCGATGTTCTTATACTACGTCAGCACACCGCTCACCTACAAGTGTGGATAACTATGTCACCGAAGACCTTGAATAAAAGCGGAGTCTTGTACGAATAAGGATAAGTATTGCCTTCCAAGGATAAGCATCCTCATCGGGAAGGTGGAGCTCCCTATGGGCGACCTCTTCTCAATAACCCCGCAAGGAAAGTATCTAAATACAACTTGGATACTTAATTATTTAAAGGCGTCTCCTACGAAGGTAAAAGATCTTCAACCCGACCGACTCTATCACCCCATTACTTAGTATTGATTTGAGTGCGAAAGTGATTTCCCGGGAACCTCATCCTCAGTCTTTCTCTTCTGTTTACAAATCTCTTCGATGCACAACCACATCCCTCCACCTCGGCTTTATTCAATTAATAGAATTATCTGTTACGTGTTCAATTTGATACACCTCCGATCGAACAATTCTTAGATAATTTACCATATATCTTCCTTTATTTTTATTTGTACTTTCTTATAGCCTTTAATGCCTATTAACAACATACTAGCAATTCGTGCAATGTACCCACAAATTTAACTAGTTTCTTTATTTCATAATCATTAGATTGATTATATTCATTTATATTTATGGTAATATGTTGCCTCTGAAGCATGTTCGACACATTTAGTACCATTGTGGGGCCTTTAACCCTTTATATAGATTGTAGACCCCTCTCCAATAAACTATCCCATAGAGGATTGTTCTAACCTAAATATCCAATTGAAGCGAATGGGGAATGGGATGAAGTACAATTTTAGAAAAACAAATTTACTTTTGATAATAAAAGAGGAAATTGTCCGGTTCACAGTAAATGATAGGGCCATATGAAAAGTTTTGTACTTTCCAATGAAGTGATTTTAACATCCACATTGAATCACATGGTTTCCCCCTTTCCAATGAAGTGGAATGGCAATGGCACGGGTGGGGACGGAGACGGGGAGCCACTCTTTCAACCCCATCCCAGTCCCCACGGACCCCACCACTGGGTTTAAGGTTTTCTACATCCCCATCCCCACAGGGACTTCCCATCTTCGCCATTTTTTATGTCAAGTTCATTTTATTTTATTTTATTTTTTGTTTCTATTTCATTTCAATTTTTTAAAAATAATAAATTATAATTTACAGTTCTATCAAAATAGATTCAAATATATCGAACATATTGACCCATATTATATATATATATATATATACTTTTACACTGGTCCCCACAAACTACAGAATTGGAGAAATAGGAAAATTTGCCATTGTTAATGATTAGTCAGTGCATTATTTGACTTACTCGTGACCAAATACCTTTCCTGTCTCTAAGATATATACCGGAAATTGAATATAGTGTTTACTTTGAGGAGAATTTCCACCAACATTTTATTATTGACAACAGTTAATTATCCATCTCTATCTATGTCATATTTGTTGTCATGATGATAAAAATAAATTTCCTATTTTAGGCTGTGTTTGGTTTGAAGGAAAAAATAGGGAAAGGAAAGGAAAGGAAAAGTAGAAAAATCTTTATAGATCTTGTATGAGTTTCCCTACCTATCCCTTCCTTTCCCTACCTTTTCCTTCAGACCAAACATAGCCTTAAAATTTGCCACTAGAATGTTGTTAGAAATTTGTATGTACAAAATGGTTCAATGTAATAATGCCAATGGGTCAGATTTAGCATGCATTAAACCTTAATCCTAACCTGACCTTGGGTCCGGTCAATGAGAATTTTCCACTTAACATGATGCATTGAAATTCCTTTTCAAACGGTACAAGAAGTAGTCCAGCTCTCCCAAAAGAAATCTTTAGGCTGTGTTTGGTTGCAGAGCAAATTTATTTGTACTAGTGCAAATGCATGGGAGTGTAAATATAGAAAATGCAAATTATTGTTTAATTTTGTTTTGGATTTTACTTTATTCTGATTTATGTCTTAATTTATTCCATTTATACTTCAATCAAACAAAATAAGCTAAAAATTGAAACAAAAATGGTCAAAATTTACACTCAAATCATTTTTACTGCCATGATTTTGCACCAGTGCAAATTTATTTCCATTGCAACCAAACACAGCCCTAACAACATTGCATCCAACAACACATAAAGAATATTTCATGAACATTTATGTTAAATTTATGAGGAGATGTTTTTATGTGGCTATATGCTTATGCTTTCAGAGTGTTTGCAAAGTTTTCTTTTTTTAAGAGATCCCGTCATTACAAGTTAGAGTAAAGCTAGAGATTACTCTCCTTGATTTTTTAGAAATTGGATATTAGAAAGGAATGATTAATTAAGGGATGTTCAACAATGTGAACACTTTTTGTTTTCATTTGTTTTGTTTCCAAAAAAGATCATGTTTTTGAAACCGTCAAAATCAATTATGTGTTTTCTAAAACAAAAACTGATTTTGTCTCATCACATTTGAAAACAAAAAACACATATACAACCAAGAACATGTTTTTATGTTTTTGTTTTGAGAAACAATCTATTTTCAAACCAAAAGGTTTTGACTTATTTTTAAAACCAGAAACGAGAAGAACACACTGGTTATAAAACTGATTACAAAGTATCATTATATAGACCCAATCCTGGAATCTTCACAAACCTTGCCTTATGCTTGTCCAAACTCGAATGGGTTGTTTAAATATCTTGGGTCATTCCATTGAGCCTTAAGCCTACATCCACATATTCATGATTCCCTAGATCAAGTTATGTCAAAGAGTCCTTCTAGATCTAGAGCCATCAGTGGATCGGGTCAGGTTTTGGGACAGCATGTATCAACCCCATTTTATTAGGGAAAATCCTGATAGGTATCTTGTACTTTAGGTTGAATGCCAATTTAGTACCCAAACTTTAAAATGTAACGATATAATTCTCAAACTTTTGTTTTGCAACAATCTAGTACCTATGTTAGTAGACTGCACGTGATCACATGTGCGATTTAAGATTTTTAAAAATATCAAAATTACCCTTACTTCAAGCTCTAGCAAACCTCCCAGCACTGGACAGCAAGGCGAAGATGACGACGACAACGATGACGAGGAAAGCCTGACACCGTGTACGCTGGCCAGAGCAAGTCGAAGGAAATCGACACTATGTTTGGGCATATTTTCGACTTCTTGTTCGCCACGCAGGACGCTTCGACGTCATCGTTGCTCTGGGCTTTGACGCTCTTGGACTCGCATCCGGATGTACTCGTGAAGGCCCGAGCAAAGGCACAGAATGACACCCTGAACCACCTGGTGCTATTCATCGCCATGTTCACGTCCATCAGCAAGATACCTGCCCCAGATTGAAAAGGTTTGGAGGGGAAGAACTAGTCCTTCTAATTGCAGAAGAGCCATTGTAGGACTTCAAAAGGTTTGGCAAGATACCTGCCCCAGATTGAAAAGTTTTGCAATTGATTTCCCTGAACCCTTTAGACGGAGAAGAAACGAATCTATTAGGGAGACCGGGCTTGCTTCTGTTGTAATATTGATTCCGATGTTGAGCCACAACAACAAGCGTCTCCAACTAGAATAGGTTTTCTTTCACAAGCTAGGTCACCTTCCGTGCACTTAGCTTCTAATAGCTCTGTAACAAATCTTGTCTATTGCTGCATAGATGGTAAGGCGAGATGATAGAACTTGAAATTGATATTAAACCATGAAAAATGTTCTATTTTTGATTCAAATGGCAGGATAGCTCCAACAGATGATGGATATTATTCTCAATGGTTGTCCTGTCACACCTGAAGGGCTGAAACATATCTTGATCCCACTATTAAGCCACAGAACTAAATCTGAACGACCGAACCAGTCTAGATCGAGCTAGATCTTATCCAGATGGAGCTTAAAAGCACCGATCAAGAACAAAACCTCATCGAAATCTGCATAAACAGAAAACTATCTCATAAACCGATACCGAAAGAAATCTAAAGGCGACACCATCAGCAAACAAAAGGGGAAATTCTTAAAAACACACTTACATGTGAAGAACCAGAAACCCTAGTAGATGATGGCAAAAGCCAGATGAAACCTTCATAACTTTACCAGAGAATAGAGTAGAAACGACTGAAAATATATTAGAATGTCTGTAAATTAAAACAAGGTGGACCTAGATGATACTGTAATGATGATACATCGATCGGCTAGCACGATTTATACTCCCCAAGCTTTGATTCTCTCTTAGAATGCTATGAAAGCTCCGCTTCTGAGCTTTGTGCAGATCTGAAATGACTCACATCCGCACTTTTGTCTTTTTGTATGCCACTTAACAGCTGGTTAATATAGGTACTAAATCTCACGAAATGAAAGTTTGCGTATTAGATTGTCCAAACTCATACTCAACCTAAAGTACAGAGTACCTATTGAGAATTTTCCCTTAATAATGAAAGTTTGCGTATTAGATTGTCCAAACTCATACTCAACCTAAAGTACAGAGTACCTATTGAGAATTTTCCCTTAATATTGGATTTGCAAGCTGAGCTTTAGGCTTGACTTTACACCATATCAAGTTAAGGCTTTAGGTTAGGCCCATTCAAATTTTGGCAAAAGGCAAGTTTAAGCCCGTACCATGAACTGGTCTATTAATAATCGGGATAATATCCTATACTCAAAACCAAACCATTGACCCATTTGACCTGAACAATAGTTTTGGTCATTTTTTTGTTTTAATTATTTGTTATTTTTATTCAAAAAATCGCAATGAATCATGCACTCAGACCAAAGCGGTTTTGGTTTTGGATCGACTTTTAAAACATTGCAAAAACCTTCAGTTAGGTTGTGATTTGTTGGCCTTAGCAGCTCAGCTCACCCTAGGAATGGCAACGGGGCAGGGATCATATTCCCCGTCCCCGATTATGAAATTAACCCCGTCCCTATCCTTGATTCCCGTCAGGGATAAAATTTGTCCTCCATCCTCGATCCCCAATGGGAATGGGTTCCCCGCGGGACCCGAATCCCCGAATTTTCTTTAGATAACAATATTTATTTGAAAAATAAATTTACTTAAAATAAATAAAAATTATAAATTATAAATTATAAATAAAATTTTAAATATGTTTTGATATATACAATATAAATAATATAATAATATATATTTAATATATATATATATATATATAATATTTAATATATATAGATAATCAAAATCGGGGCAGGGTTGGGACCTCAATCCCCATCCCCGACCCGATGGGGTCGGATAAGTCGGATCCCAGCCGGGGATGGGGAAATTGCCATCCCTAGCTCACCCTGCTTGAAAGCCCAACCCATTTCCTCCCCCATATTGGGCCTGGTCCAAGCCCATTTAAACCCTATTTTTTCCCTTGGGCCGTTGTTCCTCAATACTGGACTACCGGTGGCTGGAGTGGGGGCTACATCGACACCGACACCATCTTTCACATATGCTTGTGGTCTGGAGGGTGGAGCTCACATAACATAACTCACTACGTGTCAGATGGCTGTTCCTCGAGTAATACACTTGCTGAGTACCGCTGAAAATCAGTTTGATCAGACGATACTTAAGTCATCGTTGTCGCTGAGGGGTCCAATCGTTGGTGGGTCCCACTTCCTTTTAGAGTCATGGGCCCACGATGAAAGATTCTATTCTGATGGTCGACACATCTCTTCCGTCACCTAGATCTTCTATAAAACGCGGAAGCGTGCAGCGTCAAATTTGTCAATTTACTCAACTCCGGGCTCCAGCAAGCACGTGATAGTCGTGCATGCAATCCCTGTCAGAGCCAGTCAGCCAGAGGATCGACAAGGAGAGGCTCGGAGAGGCTCGGACCCAGACTCGGAGGACGGGTGAGTCGGGTGATTTACTGAGCCCGGACCGATCCGACCTGGTATGAGTTCCGAGTTGATTCAACTTGCTTCAACTACAATTTTTTATAGTTATAAACCAGTTCGGCCATCACGATAGATGGATCAGCGATCAGGCGGTCCCTGTGTCTCGAACGCTAATCGTTTACAGTTAAAAAACTCAAATCGTGTTCTTCTGTAAAAAACAAACACTGTTCATGGAGTGAACTGTCTGCAGATCTCACCACCCGCTTACTGTAAACTCTTCAAATACATGTTCTGTTCACCATTAGATGAAGTTTTACAATGAAGTTTCATTTTTCAATTCAAAACACACTTGAAATGCGATTTCAGAAGATGTTTTTCCATCGCAGGCATGCTTCTTCAACGATTTTGAATTCTATTTTGTTTTTCTTCTGAAATTAGTGCTGCTGCTCTGTTCATTGTTCTTCCCAGATCTGATTTGTGTGAATATTTCTTTTTGGCAAACGAGATTTTATCAGATTGATATAGGATTGTTATCGATTTCTAATCTTGTTTCTTGTTTAAGATCGGGATTTGATATTTCATCAGTAGTTAGGTGCTTTTATGCTCTATAAATGATGTTCATGGTTGTAGTTGCTTTGTTCTTTTTTATTTTTAGATGCAGATATTGGATTTGTATGTAGTGGTGGTTTTGGGAATCGTCTTGCCGTGAATGAATTAAGATGATATTCAAATCGAAGATTAAGTGGGCTGCACTTGTGGGACTCATCTTGTCTTTGTTGTCGTTGTTGGTGCACCTTCTCCTTGCCAACTACTCTACTGCAGATTTAATACAGTATACTGCAATATCGAGCCTTGGCGAGGATTTTACCCCTAAATTTGGGAGACAGGTAAAATTTCTCATTGTGGGGACTTTGATTCTTTTGCTCCCTCTCCAGTATTTTCTATGGTTGATTTTTGCATTGTTGTTTTGTTATTCTTCTGTCAGCCATTTGTTTATTTACATTTAGTTTTTTGTGTTTTTGGTTCATAACACCATGTTACAGAGTCTTAGATACAGAAACTTATGGGGAATTGTGAAGCCTCTGGAGTCTTTGCAACCGTATGCCAATCCGAGAAGCAGATATCCTGGTATTACTTGCTCAAACGTCAAAAATACTACTCTTTTTATTTTACTATTCTTTTCCTCTCTTGTGGCTTCTTAATCTAATCTAATCTAATCGGGAAAAGGCATGAAGTAGTGACAGCTTAGTCATTTTCTGACATCCCTGAATATAGTGGCTTGTGGCTTAGGGCCAGGTATGATATCCCTTAAGTTTCATTAGGATGGTGACATTGGAAATCTTTTAGTACCATTCTATTAAATAATCATATTTGTGCCATTTAGAATGATGATACATATTGTACCATATAACAGAAAATAGAAATCAGTGTCTATATATATATAATTCCTAGACTAGGTCATATTTTTGGAAAATTGTTTTGTTTTTTTGTTTTTGATCAATAACAGAATCAATACCATTAATTAAGAAGAAAATTAGTACAATTGAAGAGAAAGAAGGGGGAAGGGATAAACTCTCTTAGCCCCTCCCCAATTGAAGATATTATTACAAAGCAGCCCAAAATAAGCTATTCTTTTCCACCCTTTGTTTAGCAAGTGTATCTGCAAAGGCATTTGCATCTCTGAAACCATGATAGTAGTTTACTAATAATTGGAGGTGGATAAGAGGATCTTTCTTGTCTGGTAAGTGTAAGCAGATCCAAAACTTGGGGTAGCACATTGGGCAGCATGGCCTTGTTAGTTTCTCTATCTTAATGCATATTGATCATCTGGATTTGGATCGATCATTGAAATCAATTGTTGATGGCATGTCTGATCGGTCGTTGTCTTGCTGAAATTATATTTAGAAGATTGAAAGAAAGAGAATTTAGGTTACGGAAGGATTAAGAGGAGGCTCACAGGGAGGTTTCTAATTGGAGGGATGTTCAGGACAAAGATGGGCCTGTTCTTCTTTGGTATAAGGACAAGAAGGGTTGCATTTACTTCTCAACTAACAATATTACCTTTCTACAAATTCATTGAAAACCTCAAGCAAACCATCTTTCACAACTTCCTAACAATCCTGGTAGAAAGCCGTAGTAAAACCATTTCGCCCCGAGGCTTTAAATCTATCCATTGAGAAAACTGCCTTCCTTATTTTCTCTTCTCCAAAAATTCTTTCCAGCCAATGTGCTACCTTAGTTTCCACTTGAGGCCACTCAATTCCTTCCACACGTATTCAATCATTCAAGGGCCTCCTAAAAATTGATTTGAAATGATCCACAAAAGTCCTAACAATCTCATCTTGATTGGTTATTTCTTGCCTTCTACCTCCAATCTAGCTGCATAGTTTTTCCTCCTCCTCCTCCTCCCATTTCCCAAGGTATGAAAGAATTTTGTGTTACCATCTCCTTCTTTTATCCACTTGCATTTAGATTTTTGTCTCTAACTAATCTCTTTCTTTAGTAAGACTTCTTCCATCTCTTACTTAACCCTACATCTCAATTCTCTTTCCTCCACTGCAAGGGTCCCCTAGGCTTCCTTCTCATCTAGATCCTCTATTTTGGACAATAGATTGAAATTTTGTTCCTCTATTCTTCCAATGTGATCCCTATTCCATTCCTTGATTTTCTCTCTCAACCTATTTAATTTCTTATGAAATCTCACCCCTTTCCAATTCACCCCTCTTAAATCCTCCTACCACCAAGCCTTCACTTTCCACACAAAATTTGGATGTGTGAGCCACATGTTTTCAAATCTAAAAGGGGTAGGGCCACTTAGAAAGGTTTCTGGACCTAACTTAATAGGACAATAATATGAGGTGACTCTAGGTAAATCTCTACACACTAGGTTTCCTCCATGTGATTCCCGATCTTCATTAAAAAGAAATCTGTCCAGTTTTGAGCAATGTGGAACTTCTTGAAAGTTGGACCAGGTAAAGTGGGCTTGCAATAGGGTAAGTTCCTTCACTTCAGAAGATTCTATAAATTCATTGAACCTTCTCATACTAGTGGTCACCTGTTGGTTGGGGTTGATTTGTTTGACCATAAGCTCAAAATCCAGATGGAACTCTCTCCTGTATAAAGTGTTTATTTACCTGAATGTTTTTCCCCTTATTTTTTTATAAGTAACTGCAACTTTCATTAAACTAAATCAAAGTGTAAACAAATGAGCTGACTGATTTCAGCACCACAAAGATGGATTGATTTAATTCAGCAAAACAATAGAATGTAGGAGGAAGGATTGAGCAAGAAAGGAAAATTAGTATGGAGAGTGTTGCCTTTGGCAAATTTTTGGACTGTGTGGATGGAAAGAAATGCCAGAATTTTTGAAGATATTGGGAAAACAGAAGAGGCATTGTACAGGAATTGTGGGATAGAATTCATTCTTGGGTTGCAGTGCACAGATATACCATACAGCTCTTTTTTGAATGCTGATTTGCTACTTTGTAATGTTTAATCAATACATTTTGTACAGGTGGAGGTAGTAATGGAAAAGCTTCCTTCTGTGTGGGTGTGTAAATTTCTTGTTATTAATACAATACTTTACCTGTTTTCAAAAAAATAAATGGCAATTTTCCTTTTGCTCCATCGATGAATTAGATTTTAGATTTGTAGTCCATTTTCATTGATCCTAGTTAAGGTTTTCAGGGAGAGAATCCAGGAAAGAAAAGAATAAGATATTTTACCATTTTCATTGTCCAGAAACTAATATATGGATTGGGATTAAATGGGATAGAGAAAAATATAGCTTGTATGATATCTCATTTAGAGTCTGGAAACTTTTCATGATTTCTGTTTTAGATTTCTTTATTATCATCCTTCCAATCTTTTACAGTTTCCAGTAGTAGCATATTAATATCCTCCATCCTACAACTTAATTTTGATGTATCTCTTACTTTGGTTGTTACAGCTCCAAATGAGCAGAGCAATGGTTTCATTTATGCTAAAATTTATGGTGGATTTGAGAAGATAAGATCTTCAGTATGACCCTTTTCTCATGTTAAAAGTTTTTATTTGATGCAATTTCTATTGGGAGGTTGTAACATGTTTCTTGATTTGCTAGATCTGTGATCTTGTCACCATATCCAGGCTTCTAAATGCTACTCTTGTCATTCCTGAAATTCAGGAAAGCACTCACTCTAAAGGCATCAGGTTTCTCTTGCTAGCTTTTGTAATTGTTCTTGAATGATTAGTTTGTTTTCCCTTTTTATGGCACTAAAATATGGTTGTTTTTTCATATTATACAGTTCTAAATTCAACAGCTTTTCTTATCTTTACAATGAGGAGCAGTTTGTAGCAGCACTCTCAAATGATGTGGTTATTGTGAAGAGCTTACCAGACAGTTTGAAAGAGGCAAGGAAAAGAAAAGAGATCCCTACATTTAAGCTCAAAAGTTCAGCTTCTCCTAATTTCTACATCAATGAAGTCTTGCCCAAGCTAAAGAAAGCAAGGGTTGTTGGATTGGTGCTTGCTAATGGAGGGTGCCTACAGGTAATGCAGCATTCTCAGACTTTGAAAAAAATTTCTTCTGAGTTCTGACAATGTATGAAGAGATTTCCTCTGTCATAGGGCCAACATATCAATCATTTTTCTTATTTAGGACTTCGAATGGATCTATCTTCTTGCTTATCTTCGAATTGGAATTAAGTACTATTATTTATCTTCTTTAAGGCTTTAAATGGTTCTATCTTCTTCTTGCTTAGCTTAGTATAATTGAACAAGTACTAGCTGGAAAGCTCTCTTCTGTAAAAGCACAAGTGTTCTTGTCAGTTGTCACCTGGGTAGACTGTTTTTCTATTGAATTGACAAGGATGGCCTAGCAATAAGTGGCAAGCTTTCGTATCAACTACATAACACATTACTTCATCCTTATGTTGATTTAAAAGAAGGCAATCACCCAATGTTGGTACAAACTATCTGTGGTCTTGTGAGGGTGATATAGACCTAACATTTGGCATTTTTTTGGCAACAAAGTGGTACCCTTAGACTTGAACCTGTATTCTCATGCTTCTCAGTCTGACGTTTTACCATTGCACCAAGCAATGGCTCTATTTATAGTCTAAACCTGAGAGCTCAAATTTCCCTTTACACACTAATTTCAACCATGGTTTAAAGTATCGATACGATACGCCCCGTATCAGGCGTATCGTATCGTATCTTTTGAAAAAGATACGCTAACCCCACCTTTTTTTAATAAGAAAAAACTTATTTTTAGCTTACCAAAAACAAAAATTTGAAAAAAAAACTAAAAAAACACACATGAGAGTTTCGTGTGTTTCTAAGTACCGATACGATACTGCTGATACGCGTATCGTATCGATACTTTGAACCTTGATTTCAACTATTAAACTAACCCAGAACAACTTTTAACTACTTTAAGACTAGACAAACTCGTAAGTTGGGAAACTTAAGTAACGACTCTTAACTTTTAAACAACTCTAAATACCCATTATTAACTTACAATAGAGACATTATAAATTACTAAAACTAGTAAATCACAATTTTACTATCAATTATAATTTTATGAATTACTATAAATAGTAAACCTGAAGGTTACAGTAAATAGTATGTTTGATTTTTACTAAGAACAGCAAATTTCCGAAAGAACTAAAAATCCTATTCCCAAGGCACTTATAAATAGAAATTAAATTAAAAAAACACTAAGAAATACCAATATCCTAGCACCCAAAAATTCTGAAATTGTAAGTGTGTTCAGACCTAATAAATTCGTAAAAGGTGAGGAAAAAAATACTAGAAACGGTCTTGGAAAAAGTGAGAACAAGAGAGAAAAAGAAAAGAATTAGGGTTGGAGAGTAGAAGAGATTGAACCAACTGATCTCAACTACCACACTTCTTTTATTACAATGATAACCCTCTTAAATAATAAAGAAATAAAAGTAAAAAGAAACTAAAAGTTAAAGCTACCACTTAAATATGGTAATCCTATTTCTTCTAACAAATCAAGTACATATTTCCTTTGTGAAAGAGAGATTCTCACTTAAATCTTGCTACTTCAATGTCGAGAAAATACCTCAAGTGTCCCAATTCCTTGGTTAGAAACTATTGTTGCAGGAGCTGTTTCAACTCCTTGATTCCACATGTATCACTTCTTGTAATAATGATATCAGCAATGTAGATGGCTAGGACAATCTTACCAAAAGATATGTTTCTACTGAAAATAGAGTTATTGACACTACACTATCATAGTCCAAACTGATGTACCACACTATCAAACTAACCAAACGAGGCTCATGGTGACTATTTTAGCTCATAAATTGCCTTCTTTAACTTGCATACTTTTCCTATCTCCCCTTGAGCAACATATCCAGGAGGTTGCTCAATATACCCTTCCTCTTGAAGATCACCATGAAGGAAGGCATTCTTCACATCTAACTGAAACAAAGGCCAATCAAACTGGGCAGCCAAAGAAACAACAACATGAGCATACCCCAATTTAGCATTGGGAGAGAAGGTATCAATGTAAAAAAACTCCATATGTCTAGGTATACCCTTTTGCACTAACGACACCTTGTTTCTTTCCACACTACCCTTTGCTAGATGCTTAACTATATAAACCCACTGACAATTTATTGTCCTCTTCTCAAGAGGGAGAGTGAGATCCCAAGTATGATTTTATACTCAAGAGCATGAAATTCTTCTTCCATGGCATTCTTCCAAATTGGTGAGGCAAGAGCTTCTTGAACAAAGGAGACAAGAGACAAACTTCTAATAGGAAGGAGATAGACGGGCAAAAGACAAATAATGTGAAATTGGATGATCAATACAAGAGCGTTTACCTTTTCTAAATCAGAAGGATCAACCAATGGAGAAACTGACAATGGCACATTAGAAACTAGAGTTGGAGTAATAGACTCCTCGTGGTCCTTTAGTATACACTTTAATATTGTGAGTGGGTGGTCATGTAGGAGGCTCAATAATAGTAGTTGGTAGGGAAATCTTTGTAGTATGAACAAGGAGAGGAAGTGGAGGAGATGAAGAGGACTCAATTGTAGAAAAGTAGGGAACACTTTCTAAAAAGGAAACACTAGGAAGAACAAGGAACCAACAAAGAGTGGGACTATAACACTTGTAACCTTTCTTGGTTCGAGAATAGTCTAGAAAGATACACTTAAGAGCACGATGATCAAGTTTATCAAGCCTAGGGCGACACTGGGGCGCCTAGTCGCCTAGTCGCCTAGGCGATAAAAATTTTATAATATAAAAATCTGACTTTTGGCTAGTTTCCTAGTTTTATATACCATTYARCATGTATGTTAAWTGAAAAAATAGCAATTCTCTTTATTAAGAACATTAAATTTCCTCTAAAAATGTGGCAAATCATCACATCTAAAAGATAAAAATCTTTTACATATATTAATTT